AGTTGACTTGTTATTAAACAATCAACAAAATATATAAATATTAAAATATATCTTTTTAAATTTTTTACACAAACATTTTTTTAACATTTTTACATATATATTTTTTTATTTGTTTAAGCTTATTTGTTTAATATGAATTTATGTTAAATCTTTTTATGTATTTAAAATATAATTCTCTTTGTTGTTGGGTTGCTTTAAAATATTCATGGATGCAAGGCATGAGATTAGAAACTTTCTAAAACAAAAAACACCTGGCTTTACTTAAAACGTTTATATTTTTTAATGTTGTCAATGAAAAATTTGATACTTTGAAACAGAAATATGTACGTCTACTTTATCATACCTTTATTATATAGAAAACATTGTTTAATTTATATTTTCATCGTTTTAGTTAAACTTTACTTAATGATTAAATATTCAAATAATAAATATTTTTGTGACACACTGCTCGCATACAATATTTATATTATGATAATACTTCGTTCAGCTGACAACATGACTGACAACAGCTGAATAGATAGATAGATGGATAGATAGATGGATAGATAGATAGATAGATAGATAGATAGATAGATAGATAGATAGATAGATATATAGATAGATAGAATAAATAGATAGATAGATAGATAGATAGATAGATAGATAGATAGATAGATAGATAGATAGATAGATAGATAGATAGATAGATAGATAGATAGATAGATAAATAGATAGATAGATAGATAGATAGATAGATAGATAGATAGATAGATAGATAGATATATAGATAGATATATAGATAGATAGATAGATAGATAGATATATAGATAGATAGATAGATAGATAGATAGATAGATATATAGATAGATAGATAGATAGATAGATAGATAGATAGATAGATAGATAGATAGATAGATAGATAGATATAAACAGGAAATGAAGACTATAACGGCTGTAACCACCACCAAGATCCTTGATGTAAAATGTTGATCATATTGTTATATAGAGAGGTATTGTTCAATTCTACTCAGGATTATATTGATCATGTGACAATAACTACAGTAGTCCCCCCCCCCAATCATCCGTTCTCCCCTCCCCCTCTCAATTACTCCTTTTTCATTTTCTTGAATCCATGCTTGTATATTCTTTTATAAAATTATCATCTTTTTCTATTCCTTCATTTACACCCTTAATCTCAACAAAACAAAACTCCCGAGCATTTGTTTAGATTTCGATTTTAGAGATTTGAAAAAAATAAAGAAAATGAAGAAGCTAAAGAAAACAATATTCTTAACAAAAATATTGATATCCAAAAAATTGCCTAAACCCATTCGTGAAACCTGGGTTTCAAAACTGGTTTTCATTACGATACCCTGTCTTAAGATTTGGGCTCAGGGTTCTTCAATCTTCGTACGTCATTACTCCTCTTTTATCACCGCAAACTAACCGGAGAGAGAATGTTAAGTTTATGCAACATTACTGCTACGGCTTTGTACCCTCGTACCACCTCTAGTTTTGAGTTTACAAGTATGAGAAAAGCAAAATTATTTGGTTAAACATTAGAATTTCAAAGCATTTTGTGCTCAACAGAAGAGTTTTGATTGGATACATATAAGATTTCAATCTTACGCATAATTTACTTAAGTTTAACGTGCTCATGTACAGCGAGCTCAATTTACTTTAGTTTAACGTGACCATGTACAGCGAGCTCAATTTACTTTAGTTTAACGTGCTAATGTACAGCGAGCTCAATTTACTTTAGTTTAACGTGCTAATGTACAGCGAGCTCAATTTACTTTATTATGTACAGCGAGCTCAATTTACTTTAGTTTAACGTGCTAATGTACAGCGAGCTCAATTTACTTTATTTTAACGTGCTAAAGTACAGCGAGCTCAATTTGATTTAGTCTAACTTGCTAATGTACAGCGAGCTCAATTTACTTTAGTTTGACGTGCTAACGTACAGAGAGCTCAATTTACTTTAGTTTAACGTGCTAATGTACAGCGAGCTCAATTTACTTCAGTTTAACGTGCTAACGTACAGAGAGCTCAATTTACTTTAGTTTAACGTGCTTATGTACAGCGAGCTCAATTTACTTTAGTTTAAAGTAAACCCAACCCAGCACACAAAGTTGATAATGTTAATGTTTTATTATGTTTTGTTATAATAACTAGGAAAAAGTGATTGAATCAAAATTTAGCAGGAAAATCAAATTCGATTTATACAATAAAAATTACTATATTCTTCAAGAAAACTTGTTTTAAACTTGTTCAACTTTCTAGGGTGCCTAGAGATTTTATTCCCAATGGAATAGAGTTCCAGGTCCTTGTAAGAAAAACCGTAGGAAAATTTTCTAGATATTTATTGTTAACTAATTCAAATTTATAACTTTTTGTTTTACTGTCGCACGGAATAAAAAAAAATAAGGAAACGAACAGTTTAAATTCCGTTCAGTCGTCTTTGAAGTTTCGTCTTGTGTGGTTGACCCTGTATATACTGTGGCGGGATCTTTCTGTGTTTTTATGTTGTAAATCCAGTCTATAGGATACAGTTTAGCAACAGGCATATTGTTTGTGAACTAAAGAGATTTTTGAGAATGAACGAATTTTTTGTGAATGATGGTGTCGTTTAGAAAAATAACGAACGATGGACGAACGACTTTGATCAGATCAGAAAAATAAAAAAACCATCGTTTTCTAAAAATAACGAAAAAACGAACGATATAAATCGTTCGAACGAAATTGATAAAACACTCGTTTTTTTCTGATACTAAATAATATGCACTAAAGTGTTCCAACTTTTTAAAAATTACAATGAAAATATTAAGATCGAGTCTAATCTTTTTGAGCAAAAAAAACTGAAATATAAAAATTTCTCAACATTTTTTCAGTTTTGGTAGTCCACTGCATGGAAAGGAAAAATATCAATAAGACCGATAAAGAGATGAAGATGAAAAATATTTCTGTCACTGTAATTTAGACAACAAATATTAAATCTACGCAGAATTGCAGATATGACTTTGTTACATCGTAACTCCGCTAATAAAGTTTACACAAAGAGTTAAAAAGTAAAAAAATTGCATATGAAGGCTTTAAAAAATTAAACATAATATGATAATCTTATGAGGAAAAAAATGTAATAATGGAAATTCTTAAACGAGATGAAATAATCTTGATGCATTCTTTAACGAAGGCCGCAGGCCTGAGTTAAAGAATGCATCAAGATTATTTCATCGAGTTTAAGAATTCCATTATTACATTTTTATCCTCATAAGATTATTATTATATCATATTTGTGAGGTTCCATGGGCACATACCCAAGAAATTATAGTAAGAGTCGTCTGGGACATCACCACGGAACTGGGAGTCAACTGGGACATCACCACGGAACTGGGAGTCA